CTGGGATGATTAGATAATGATGATAGGTATTTGGAAATTAAAGACTGCTTTTCAGTTATCAATCTTCTCTAAGGTCTTCCCCAATATATAACCATAAAAATGAGCTTCATGATATCCATGACTAAATATGAGAACTTTTGCTAAACCAATAAGAAACATGTTACATTCATCTAGATTTATTGCTCTTCAGACAGTCTTCAATCATAGACTGTGATAATTCAATAGTAACTCTGGTAACACTCCTACAGAACCATTCCTCTGAATAATATAACATTAAAATGTTAACTTGAAGACATAAGACAGAAATTGATTTATTAAGCAAATTGGGAATGGACTTTTATCAAAAAATTTCCCTTTATATAAAAGGCAGTTAAATCCTAAACTGATCTCTTACCATCATAAAACTGACAAATCTGATATACATTCAGGTATACATTGTACAAGTTGGGAAACCTCAAGAATTTCTTATATAGAAGACAGTTCCCTTTGTATTTTAGGCAATTTAGTGAACTCCTGTATTGGTGTATATTGGTTTATTTATTTTAGTGGAACTGAAAAGCAGTGGTTCATGAATAGTAGCAGTTTTCTGAATACTTTGCAAAATTATCCTCTATGTAACAATGAAACTGATTAGGTAATACCAATAGGCCTCAAATGATTGATATGTTGCAGTATTATATTATTACTTATTATTGTATACTTGTATTTGAAATAGATGCCCCATTTTTAGTTATTTTAAACAGTGTGTATTCAATAAATCCTAATAAAGAAAATTTACTCTCCAGCAAGGATGAATGTGCATCCTTCTTTTGCAGAAGAAACCACTGTTTGATCTGGTGTGCTTTACTGCTCAGCTACAGTGTGTCACAATTCAGTAAACCTCTACTTTCTCTTATGTAATAAACTCTGTTTAAAATTTTAAAAAATAAAAATGGGCCATCTATTTCAAATACGGGTGTCCACTATAATAACTTTTGAGGTAATAAAAATGTTGGATTAAAAATAAAACTATTAATTCTTTAGTATTATATAAATAAAGCAAACTGATTTGTTTATAGTCATTACTTTTATTGACTTCTGGATTTTATTGAATATAAGTAGTAATTATTTATTTATTTTCTTTTATCATATATTTTTTAAACTTTCAGTTTTTGTAAAAATGAAATGATTTTCAGCATAAAGAGCCCTGAGAGTCCTAAGAAATCCCTAAGCCCAGACTTACCAAAGAATGTACAAAAAAGTCAGCTCAAACAAGATGGCACACAACTAACACATGCAAAGAGACCAATTGATATCAGCTGTTTAGAAAAAGGTCCTCCAGAAAAACATCTGAAATTTGATTCCAGTCCACCACCATTTTTTGGAAGTTTCAGTGAAGACTCTCTGAATTCTATAACAGTTGGTGAGTATATTATTTGATATAACAACAAGCAATAAGATGTGATATGTATATTTTTATACTATTTAATTTTTGTTAAAACTTCTAATGCAAATCTTATCACAGATGAGATGAATTTAATAAAAAACAAACTTTCATTCTATACAACTAATAAAAAATATATACTCTGAGTTAAGTTATTTTGAAGATACATCAGTTTTTCTTAAATATTATATGGAAAAATAAAACTCTCCTTAGGTTGTTTTACTCGAGTTTGTTGGCTGTTAAAAATATTAGAAGCATCAAAACACTAAAATAAAAATAAATACATATAAAATCATATTTAAATAAATTTAAAAATAATATTTTATATATATAATATATATATATATATATATATATATATATGATCATAAAATCATCAAAAACAAAAAATTATCATAATTCCTGATGATGCTTGTGCATTTTTTTTTCTGCTCTAACACCGATTTTGAGTTCAGGCTTGTCTACATCTGTGCTCTGTCATTGATGTTCTTTCAATTACAATTCATTTGTGGTTTAGAATACATTTTTGCCCATGGCTCTGAAGAAAAGTGCTACTGCTAAGCATAAGGTCATATCGCTGGAAGATAAGGTGGTAATTAATTATTTTGTTCAGAACACTGTACATACATATCATCATAAATACTGTAATAGCCAATGGGGGAGTGATTATTTGCATTTTATAGTGTGTATTTCAATTTAGGTTGAAAAGCAACTTAAGTTGTGACCTGGAACCAGTTAACTGCATACAGTGGAGTATGCCTGTATTATAAAATAATATTCCAGGTAGGATTTATTAAATGTCAAAAATTACCATTCACACTGACAATTGCATATATAGTAATGGACATATTATGGTAATATATAGTAATGGACATATTATGGTTGCGATGGGTAAATTGTCAACATTTTTAATTTTGTTCATGCACATTGTTTGTTTTTTATTTTATTGACTTGACAGTGTAGTAAAACCAGTTGGGCAGAGTCTGTGAGAAAAGGAACACCATGATGCAATTCACTCCACCAGAAATTTGGAAATGGCATGCTGTACTGCTTGGCATTCATGCTGGAATCTCCAATATAAACATTTCATAGTGTTTTGGTGTGAATCTGAAGACAGTGCAGAGGATTCGGAAAGAGTTGGTTTATATATCCACTCAATATCATGATGTTTGTATTGATGGCAAAGTCATGCTTCTATTCATCTTCCCACAGACTCAACACTGAGGCCTCCATCAAGTGCCTTGAGGATGTAGTACTGCCCTAGGTCAAGAGGGTGGCTGCTGGAAGACCCTATGTCTGTCAATGATACTCTGCACCATCTCAAACAAGCAGAAGGCCTCAGTTGTGGCTGTCAGACAATTTCTGCAACCACATTACCCCTAACATCTGGCCACTTAACTCCCCAGACTGAAACCCCCTTGATTATTATGTATAGGGTGCAGTTGAGCGAGAAACCAACAAAACTCCTTGTACCACCAGAGATGAACTGACGGCAAAGATTGTGTTAGCATTCATCAATTTAAACAAGGAGACTGTCCAGAAGAGATTTGGGAGATTCTGAGGTCATCTGGAGGCCATAGTTGAAGTCAATGGTGATTTTTATTAAATAAATTCACTCTTTAGTATTTCAAGATATTTTTGTGTAATTTTGGTAAATATATCTGTTAAAATGAGATGTCATTGTTATTTTCATTTTTGCATAATTTAGATGACTTTATCCATCGCACCCTGTATAGTAATGGACATTTAGTTTTAGATCATTATTAGTATGGTTTAACGTGATATCTAGGTAAAGTAATGTTTTTCTATATCGTAAGTAGATTCAATTGGGCACCTTGACATGAAGTAATGGTTAGCAAGCTTGTCTTGGTAGATCAATTATGATTTGAATAGTGTGTTTGATCCTCACTGGGTGCTCCATACTTCCAACCTTGTGCCACAGGTAAGCTACTCTTAGAAAATTACCATGTAGATTCAATTGTATGTTTTATATATGAAACAAAAACAAACATTACTTTTCCTTGATATCATGTTAAACTGCAGTGATAATGACTTAGAACTAAGGGTCTATCAAAAATGCCACTGCAACAAAATAAAATCAGAAATACTATATTTTCTTGTGTATAATACAAAGCAAAAAACTTAATTATATCCTGAAGTATAATCAGTCAGTTATGTGCCATGTGTGAAATACGCTTAGGTGATCATGTATCTTTTGATACATGAATGACTGACAAGGTAGATTTTTTTTCCCTGCAGTAGGTTGCCATTTCTTTCTGTGGTAGACCAGTTGCCATTCAAGGCTGTAGAACCTGGTCTGTCCTGCTATTTACCTGGGGAGGAGAAGAAGAAAAAAATTCATACCTTTCCCAAGAGTATTAGCACAAAAGTGAATGTAATGGATTCGACTGGAATTTGAACTCTGCACTCTGATTCCTCAATCCAAGCTGCTATCCATTATTCCACCATAGGACTCCATAATACAGCCATCTCCATGTAAATTTTTTTTTTTTTGACAAGTTGTCTAATCCATTAAAATCTCATTCATACATTTTTATATATATTTCACTAAAATATCTAATTTTTCATGATAAAGAATAGAAATGAACTGAATGTTTAGCTAATGTATGATTCTTCTAATTTCTGTTTGAAAATTTTCAGAGAAAGATCCTTTGTAGCATTAATGTTATCAAAGCACGGCAGATCTTGTGTATTCCCTTTAATTTATTTTAATCAATTTCAGTGAATTTCCCCTCTTTGAGATGAAAGATGTCCAATTATTGTAAATTGCGGCATGCAAATCAAGTTTTTAAGCCTAAAAAATATCTTTCCAAAATTAAGAGTTGACTTAAATGGTGGGTAGTAAATTTAAACCATTGCCACAGAGTTAAAGAAGGAAAAAAAAAAAAAAGGCTACTGCACTCCTAACAATTACTGTACTCCACTTACCAGGTTGGCACAAATATATCCCACTAAAACTTGTTTGGTTGAACATATTTGGCATATTAATATAGTTTTGCAGTTTTGGTAGCATCATTGGTTGTTTGTTTATATCACTAATGCAAATAATGGATGAGTGATACTGTGTTTTACAATAACGTGTAATATGAATATGATATATATATATATATATATAATATATATATATATATATATATATATATATATATATATATATATATATATATATATATATATATATATTTATATATAAATATATATATATATATATATATATATATATATATATATATATATATATATATATATATATATATTATATATATATATATATATAAAAAAATATATATAATATATATATAAAAAAATACCTAGTATGTTGTGTAATGTACAGTATTAATACTTTATAAGAGTTGATGTTGAATTTAATGTGTTTATTAGTAAACATGACAAATTTTAAATCTTTGCTAAGTTAAACTGATACAATATATGATACCTACCAGTGTGAATTGTAAGTTTGCTATACAACAAATATAGAAAGATATTATGGTTAGTGCCTCAATATGCAGGTAAGTGGGGCGACCTTATGTAATTTTGGCACAGGTTATTGAATACTGTAGCCTATCGTATGTTTGGGGGTCAACCTATATGGTATGTTTAAGCCTAACTAAGAATTTTGAGCTAAAAATCTTGAGTTTGATGTATGCTGCAGTTTACAGTATTATGATTAAAAAAAAAAGAAAAAAACAAATATTGCCAACATATCAAATACCTTTTTAGAAGCATTATCTACATGTAGAAAGGATGAAAGCAACTGTGAAAAACATCCTTGTAGCTAATCAATATTTGATTAACAATCAAGTCTCCTTGATTTTGTTAATATTTCCATGTTTATTGCCATCATCCTCATAACATTATCTACATGTAGAAAGGATGGAAGCAACTGTGAAAAACATCCTTGTAGCTAATCAATATTTGATTAACAATCAAGTCTCCTTGATTTTGTTAATATTTCCATGTTTATTGTAATCATCCTTATAACAAATTCTATTTTAATATACTCTGAAGGAAGTTTTTCACATTTTCAGCTATATATTAAGTGCGCCTCTAAAACACTTGTATGAACTCTATATGTAAGAATTCCTCATTTGTTTATTTTTCTAGAAGAACCTAATAAAGAAAGCGTTTTGCGCAATCTACTTGTGAATGGAGAAGACCTGAACAATGGCTATAGTGTCAACAGACCTTTAACATCACCAAGTTTCATGGTAAGAAATTATTTTACAAATTACTCTGGTATGAAGCTTCATATTAATTATAATTCTTTAAAGTTCTCTGTTAAGCCTGCCCAACTTTATTGATATATATACTCAGATAATGTGGACAAGTGTTATCTTATTTCTTTATTGTTAGTGAAAGGAAGTTAAGATGTATTTGATCAAATAACAAATGTTTGTAAAATTTTAAATTCGTAGTAATGTTACACTGCTGCAATGTAAACAAAAGCATTTATGAAGTTGTGTATTTATTTTACTTTCCTCTATGGTTTTCAACAGGACAAACAAATCGTGATCATTTGATCAAATTCTTGATGTAACACCATATAGAATTTTATTCACAAAACATTACAGTATTCTAATATTCAGTTAAAAAAATTATTGTTAATTGTACTAATTAAGCAATTATTTCTTCATTGTCATTATCACTACTCAATATATCAATGTCTTTTTCAGAAGTAGTTTCATAAAAAAAATTGCTTGAATTATCTGTTCATATTAGAGACAGCAGCATGTTGAATTTTTGTTTTCACTAGAAATGGGTACAAATTTTATTGAATAAATAGTTGATAAAAGCTAAAGTAACTCTGGTTTTGACGTGAAAATATGTAAATTTGGAATTCCAGTTAATGTCATACAGGATTTCGAAATTATATCACCATTAACCAATCAAATTACAGAACATCTTCTTCCAAGAATATTGGGAATAAATGCAAAAATGTTAAATGGAATTTGAACTTTGTTTACTGAATTCAGTTTACTATACTGATGGACATTATGCCACTATCAGTATGTTGATATGTATATAAATAAAATGAGTGGATTTTTACAATAGTCTTTGCAACTATAAATAATCATTTCCTTTCATATTATTATAGATTAAGCATTACATCACAAATATGAATATTTGTCTTTTTAATTAAATTTTATAAAAATTCATGTGCGGGGGTCGGTTCATTTTATCATATAAAGTCATTGTAAATTGAACACTCCCGCACTAAATGTGATTTCTTAAAATATAAAAAAAAAAAAAAAATAATTAATTTTTAAAATTTTAGATCTGTCATTTGTAATTCATTGTTTAGATATGACTCATGTAAACATTACAGATTGTGAATTTCACAATTCTTTTGTTTTCATATTTTATGAAATCATGTATGAACATTAGTTTTGGTTTTTGTGTGGGGGATCAACTTACAACAAATTTATATGCAAAACTGGACCCCCTATTAACTTCTAAAATATTTTATAAAAAATTTATTTCTTTTCAAAATTGTGATGTATAGTAATATGAAAAAAATATTTAAAGAGATATTATTTCTGGGTGCAGTAAATGTCTTTTCAAATATTTTTTCATATTACTATACAACACACTTGTTGTAAATTGGTAATTCGTTGCTAAAATCAAACCATTTTCAGGCAAGGGGGAGTGATGCAACTTATGTTTACTAGAAAAATACATCCACAAAAATATTTATAATTTAAATCTACTTAATGAGCTTATGTATAGTTGTACACAGAGAAAAATATTTCTCCAAAAACATTATAATCCTGGATAAATTTCTTTTTGACTTTTTACTTTAGGGCTTATGATGATTATCTCGCTTTGACTATACAAACGTCCACTCTCTGTGCTACAAACTGCATCACATGTTCAAACTTTAAATTTCAAACATGCTTCAATTTTCTTCCTTCTTTTTTACTAATGACTCTAAACTGCATCCTATTTTCTGCACTTAAACCCTAGTAATTTCTTTGTACTAAATTCTTACCATCTTAATTTTGAACTATGTATCCCCTGCATGTTTAAAAAAAAAAGAAAAAAAAAAGAAGCTATATCTTGTGCCTGATGAGTTGGATAACCAACAAAACTTAAGTTGCACACCAAACGTAGGTATATGTATGTTTAATATACATCTCCAAGCTCTGTCAAACCACATTGAGCACTATTATCTTTGCACCTCTTGGAAATTTGTATGGGCACACAGTAAGGATTAAACTGACTACTTAGTAGTAATGGTCAACCAGACTAACCTTCCTAACCCTCATGACGAGGCACCTGGTTTTAAACAGAGTACAGCTAAACATTATATAAAAGATCATTAACTTAAAAAAAAAGGTCAAATATAAATTTGTATGTTATGAAGTAGACTTTTATGAATAATAGATAATTTTAATTCAATCCTTGCTGTGTGCCCATACAAAATTCATCTTACCTAAGCAAACAACTGCCATAACATCAAAGCAGGTGAGTCAAATGAGTTTGAATTAAAGATTAGAATAATAAATGTGCATGTTGGAAAATTTAATATAATAAATGCTGCACAATTTTTAGATGCAAATATATTGGTAGTCACTATACACCCACTAGAAATTTGATACACAAACTTGCTTCCCATTTCTTTCATTACCGTTTCAGGAATTTACATATGCAGGCACTAAAATATATATATAATATATATATATATATATATATATATATATATATATATATATACAAAAAAGATGCTCTAAATTTAAAACACACATACAACATAGCATGAACATTTGATTTCTATTCAATTAATGAAATTAAACAGCATAGAGTTCAAAATATGGAAAGATTTCTCCCAATATTTCTGAAGGTAAAATAGTATCAAATATACAAAGATTTTTCTACTTGTTCCTTATTTAACCCTTTAGCATTCAAATATAAATATTGTCTCTCAATGCTCAATATGCTGTAACCCTCCCTATGTATATTCTGCAATAACATGACATCATTGCAAAGAACGCAGGAAATCACACAAATAATGAAACTGAGAGCCAATATTTGTGGGGCATGTTTGAGCTTGTTGATTGCTAAAGGATCACTCATTTTGTTGAATTGGATCCTTATTTTTAATCCATGCTAAGATATATAACTTCTTTTATAACTAGCCAAATTACCCATGCCTTGCTGCATGTCACACATTTTTTTATGTAAGAAAATGATGATTTTAAATCATTGTTATAATTTGTGGATAAAAATGCTGCATTTCAATATTACTTAATGATCTTGCTGATGTGACCTCCATCTTCTGGTTTTCTCCTTCTATATTTTGGATAGGAGTTATTCCCTTGTTCAAATTTAGATTTAATTTATATCAAAGGAAAAAATTTTCAGTAGTGGTTTTGTACAAAAACAGCTTAATCTGACACCTTTGAAATGTATTTGATGCAATACTTGATTGAATTGATAAGCAGGTTTCAGCATTGATATGAAAGTTTGAATTGTCATAACAAATATGTATTGTAGGGCACTATCCACTGATTGCTGATTTCTTGCTCTTGATGTCTGTAACGTCTCAGTTTGATCTTGCCAATGTGACCTCCATCTTCTGGCTCCTTCTTTGGATCAGTCATTTCCTTGTTCAAATTTAAATTGAATTTAAATCAAAGGGGTGAAAAAAGAATTTCTATTGGAGGTTTGTGTCCCCCCCCCTATCAAAATAAAATATACTTATCCAGGTACCCTGGGTAATGTACTTTCAGAATAAATATACATATATGAGGGTCTATCTCCCAAACTCTAGAAGTTCAATAACAAACAGGTAGACATCGGCTACAACTTTATATAGATTAGAAGCATGACACAATGAATTTGTATCTGATTGTTAAGTCTGTTTTCATTACAATCACATTTTCCTTGCATATTTTAGTTTGAGTATTTTGCTATTAACTAAATACTGGTAGAATTTTTTTTTTTTTTTTTTTTTTTTCTGCAGTTTCTCCATTTGTATTAGTTTTTGTATCAGTGTTTCATCTTTCATCCATCTTTGAGTGATGTCTTAAAGAACTAAACTACGTTCAAACATCACTTGAAGATGGTTGGACAGGTAATAAACCAAGCTGTTTGGCAACTAATTATTAAATTATTTTAATAAAATTTCTCCAAAAATGTTATGAACTTGTTTATTTTTGATTCTTCCTTATAAAGCTGTTTATCTGCATATTTGTTAATTTTAATAAGGATAAACTTGTTTCAAAAAGAATATTTAATTACAAAGAGATGCTGAAAAAATCTAAGAAACGTTTTTTTTTTTAAACTTATGCATGTTTACTTGTTTTTATTTATTTTATTTTATTTTATTTTTATTTTTTATTTTTATTTATTTATTTATTTTTAAGCATTTCATCCCAATCAAGGCAGGAATGCCAATAGCATGCAGGGGGTTACAGAGAGTGAAAGTGAGAGAAAAGTGTGTGTGTGGGGATTGAGGAAAGGAAAAAAGAAGAACAGTGATCAAGGCAACAGAAGATAGTGATTAACATTGCATTTAAATTTTTGAAGGTTGTAGTTATCAAGGAAGCAAGTGAGAGGAAGGGAGTTCCAATGTCGAGAAGTGTGAGGAAAGAAATTATTGGAGTAGAAGTGGTGGTTGCATTTAACTATTTCCGCAGTAAATGGCTGGGACCTAAATGCCAGTTTAGTAGCACACTTAAATTCATGTAGCACCAGGGAAAAATACTTGTCAGAGTAGAAGCCATTAAAATATTTGTAGAAAAGACAGAGGGAAGCCACATCACATCTATAAGAGAGTGTCTGAAGTTGAGAAGCCAATTCAGATCCAATTACATTACAGATCCTTTATTTTTTAATCATTTTACTCCAAGTAAGGTGATAACACCCCTAAAATTCAAGGGGCTACTGGGAGTGAAAGAGAATACTTTAGAAGGAACCACAAACATAACCTTAAATAGAAAATAAAGTGATAAACCTCTACTCTTGTTCAAAAGACTAGGGAGGAGTGGATCTGGGCAATGCTCAAATCTATCTATTCTCTTATTTGATAACATTCTGTTAAGTGGGTCAAGTTGAGAAATTTCTTGGCTTCTTGTATACTCTGCTTATTTTCTTTTCTTTTTTTTTTTTTTATTATTATATATATATATATATATTTTTTTTTTCCAGACGGATTTGCTATATCTCAATACAAAGTCCATGTCACCAACATCAAATCGGTTATTACTACCACGTCTAACTCAGTCGGACTGTGATGTGAATGCTCCAATACCTTCAAATGGACTACTTCATGGAAATGAAATTCTCAAAGCCTTAGATGATCCATCAATCATTATTTGACAGAACATTTTCTGTGCCTTATCTATCAGTTTCTATATTTTTATCTTTAAACTGATAGACAATTTCCAAGTTTCAAGATAGCGCAATATTGGTTCAACTCAAGTTATTTTCAATACACTATCATGTTTTATTTGTTAATTCTACTAATGAAATAAAAAAGGCAGATGCATAGCATGTCTTTGTATGTATAAATATGTGTGTATATGTAGGCTGTATGATCAAAGTGAATATATTACTACAGACAAAACAAGATAAATTATCAAATTTGGCCTAAACATCAATCCACAAAATTTAGTTTTCTTTCTTCTTTTTTTTCTACTCCCCCCTCCCCACCTTTTTTTTTTCTCTTCCCTTAAATTTTCTGTACATGAATGAAAAAGACACTTTTTTTTTTTTTTTTTTTTTTTTTTTTTTTTTTTTTGGCCATTTTATTCCTGGATATAGAAAAGAAACTGCAGCTACTGTAGATCAGCTTTTATGGTACTTTTCTTTTTTTTTTTTTTTTTTTTTTCTTTCCTCTACTAGAAAATTAATTTCTCAATAAGCAAGTGATAGACATATTTTGGCAAATTGAGGCTATGGTATTTAATTTGAGGCTACTTTTAGTTTGGTTAAATATAATTTTTTCCCTCCCCCTGTTATTAGAAATATTCCCTTTTCCCTGTGTATAAAATGCCTTCTGCTTATTAAAACAAATAATTATAAAAAAAATAATTCTCATAAACATGAGCTTTAAAGAAAGAGACTTGTATATCAAAATCTTGGATTGTCCAAAAGACTGCTTATTCTGTTTTCAGAAAAGTTATAGCATTTCGCCAGTAAATTTATTGTAAATTTTTATGCTTATTTATTTATTTTATATATACAGGCTGTCTCTGCACTCACAAAATGTATGATTACTTTGTTAATAGTTATGGCAATTATTATCTGAAAGTTGAAAAAAAATAACAAAATGGATGTTAAAGATAGGATTCACTGTTTGTGTGTGAAAAGATACTTTATTTTAAAACTTTCAGAAAAGTATTTTTTTTTCATTTATCAACTGATATCTGTAGGCATACATTTATTTATATACATTTTTTTTTTTTTTAAACAAAATATTGTAGTTGATATTTATATTTATCAAGTTAACTTTCAGGTTTTAACCATACTATTATCAAAAACTTGTATACATTTTTAGCATTGACGCCTTCATATATATATATATATATATATATATATATATATGACTAAAGACAAAATTTAGAACTTTTAAAAAATCTCTGGATGAGAATGGGCATTTTTTGTTTTTCTGCATATTGACAAGCTTAATGTATTTTTATGTTTGAACTGGAATATTTAACAGTAATTTAGTACAGTAGCTGTAGTTCTTATCTGGTAGTGCTATAGCTGACAATATATCATATATTTTTTTATCTGACAATTTTCATCTGAATGTAGCTGCTATAGAATGGGAACAATATTTAAAATATATTGTCAGTTTTATAATTGTTTTTTCTTTTTTTCTTTTCAAAGAAACTAAATTTTATGACAATAGCCTAACAAATATTTGTCTGATTTACAGCACTTATGCTGTAATAAAAGAAAAAGAAAGTAAGATTTTCTATGGATTAATATGACTAGAAATAATTCTACATATTGGATTTCTTGTATTTTGTTAACTTTGGTAGGTACAAGATTACTAAAACTATATTGAATATCTTATCCAATTATTTAATATAACAAGAATAGACATACTATAAAATAGATCTTTTCTATTTTTTCTTTTCTCTTTCTTCCTCTTTTTCTTCTTTTTCTTCATCTTTTTCTTTTTTCCTTTCTACTTTTTCTTTTCTTGCCCTACTTTTCTTTTCCTTCTCTCTCTATTTTTTCTTTTCTCCCCACTTTTTTTTTCTTTCCTCCTCTTCTTTTTCTTTCCCCCTCTTCTTTTTCTTTCCCCCTCTTCTTTTTCTTTCCCCCTCTTCTTTTTCTTTCCTCCTCTTCTTTTTCCTTTTCTTTTCCTTTTTTCTTTCTTTTCCTTTTTTCTTTCTCTTGTCTTTCTTTTCTCTTGTCTTTCTTTTCTCTTGTCTTTCTTTTCTCTTGTCTTTCTTTTCTCTTGTCTTTCTTTTCTCTTGTCTTTCTTTTCTCTTGTCTTTCTTTTCTCTTGTCTTTCTTTTCTCTTGTCTTTCTTTTCTCTTGTCTTTCTTTTCTCTTGTCTTTCTTTTCTCTTTGTCTTTCTTTTTCTCTTGTCTTTCTTTTCTCTTGTCTTTCTTTTCTCTTGTCTTTCTTTTCTCTTGTCTTTCTTTTCTCTTGTCTTTCTTTTCTCTTGTCTTTCTTTTCTCTTGTCTTTCTTTTCTCTTCTTCTCAAATATATAAGTATAGGTACATACTTTAAAATGGTTATTTTTTTTCCTTTTCTAAAACTTCAAAAATGTCTTTTTGGCTTCATTGTCTTCAGTGTTGTGCCAAGATATCTAAATGTTGGAGCAATTTTTTTTATTTTTTATCAGTAGTATGATATTCATTTACATATTAATTAAATCTAAATGATTCTACTTTTTAGTATATCTTCAATATTCTATGTTTCTTCCTAATATTTGGCATTATGAAAATAACTATATATTGGTCCATGCCTCTGTGCCAAACCAAACTGAATTTAATACCTATTTACACACTTAACATTTCTAATGTACAAGTTTGTTTACAGATATTAAATAATCTTTTTTTTTTCCTTCTGTAGCCAAAGTATTTTTAATGCACTAAAAATATACAAATATCTCTTATTTTACAAGCTAAGTAGGAAGAACTTAAAGGAATTTGAAAATAATTTCTAAAAATCTGTAATTTTATTCTTTAATTTCTTCCTAAAAGAATTTACTAAAATAATACAGGTTTATTTTTTTTTTTTTTTAATTTTATATTCAAATTTATTTGAAAATAATTACAATAAATTTAAAAATTATTTAAATCTGCTTTGGAGAGTTCTCTCTCATGTAGCTTTATATAAAGTTTTTGTAAAAATGAATTGATAGACCATTAAAGAATGATACTTTTTAAAATTTATTTGTCTAATTTTAGTATCAGCTTACAAGATAAAGAATTATTTAAATTGGTACAACAAAAACTTTCAACTCAAATGTTTGTATATGATTTCTTACAAAGCATCTCAACACGATAAATTGACTGTTAAACTATTCATTCTTTTGGTCATAAGTTAATGACTAATAACAGTAGCCTTGCCTTGCCTTTGAAACTTGAATAAAAATACTAAACTCTACTTAGTAGTACTACAGTGATTAATATTTTCACATAATGTTCTATATCCGAATTAAATATATTTTCTCTGTTGAAAGATTAAATTTTGCTATACACATCAAAGCCAAAGAATGGCTTTTATTTGTAGATACAATAAATTGGGGGTAAACAAAAGATGGTAAATTAGTAGCATATAAAAAAAAATTGAGTCATTTCTAACTTTAATAAGTTTAAGGTTTCTTTAGAAACTTTTAATAATTTACTAAGGTGTATGTATGGAAAATAGCATCTGACAAGTATTGAAATTGAACCCCCCCTATCTAAACATCTGTTACAGTGATACCCTCTTTGTGAGATAACTTTAACATAATATCAAAAATAAACATAGATCTTGTTAACAGACATCTGCATATTTCTCACCTATGATAATCAGAGACAGATCCTACATCTGAAGAGGATTCCTTTTTTTCCACCATCCAAGTATAGCTTGTCTAACAGAAACCACTCAGTGGTACTCAGGGCATGTGACATACCTAAAATGTGCCACTGTTTATCCATCCTTTGCTATTTCGATGTAAAATAGAAAAAAAAAATGTACAAAACAATTTAGTCACTATTTTATGTGACTACATAAAACAATATTGAATACTATCAAATAACCCTTCACTCCCAGACACAGTATTTTTTTTTTTTTTTAGTTTTTTTTATTTGTTTTCAATTTGTTACATATTACTTAGATTTTTTTTTTTTTTAATATATATATATATAAAAAATATATATATATATATATATATATATATATATATATATATATATATATATATATATATATATATATATATATATATGTATGTATGTGTGTGTGTATGTGTGTATATATATATATATATATATATATATGTATATATATATATATATATATATATATATACACACACATATGCACAATAAATATGATTTGTTTTAATTATATTCTTGATGATAATTTGTTTTTTATTCTGTAGCAAAAAAAAAAAAATGTATTTTTATTTTCAGTATATTTTTTGGGGTGACGAGGGGTTGTTTTATATGTGTAGATTACATACAAACAAATGCTTGCTTTTCTTAATCCCTGGGGTGACAAATATATTACATTGAATATTTCCCCAGTACAGAATGTATAACAATTATTTGAAAATGTTGGACTGGCATTCTTCATCTACTTACAAAGTTTTATTTCTTCAAACACTTTTTTATTTTTTCAAGAATGAGGAAAAATATTTACTGATTTCAAATAGAAATCTTTGACTAACATATGTAAAATACATATCTGTATATATCAGTATGATAAATAGTTCTGCCAATGAACATGTACACAGTTTAGTAAGATTAACAATAGAAATATTAACCCCCCTCATTCCCCGCCAATATTCTACGTACTTCTTATTTTTTATTAGCTGCTGTTTATTTCCGATTAGAGGTGGTGTTAAAGTTACCCTGCTTGCCAGTGGGGATTAAATTTTTTCTTTAACTTAATCAGATTGAGAATTTTTGAACACCCACCTCCATAAGCTTTGACAATTAGTTTTCCTTTTTCTGTTTAAATAAACTTTTGAAATTGCCATAAACTTTTAAGTGTCAAGCTTTTGCTCTTCTATTCAGCTGAAATGCCTTTTTTTTAGATAAAGATTAAACAAGCTTGTACCAGTTTAAAAGCATTAATCTTGATGGGCTTTTTTATCAATATTTATTTTTAAAAATACCAAAAACATTTGATTTTTATTTATTTTTAATTATTTTCAAAAATTTTTTAATTTTAATTTTTTTTAAATTTTAAAAAAATTTTTTTTTTTTTAAATTTTAAAAATTTTTATTTTTTAATTTTTTTTAAATTTAAATTTTTTTAATTTTTAAAAATTTTTATTTTTCAATTTTTTTTTAATTTTAATTTTTTTAAATTTTAATTTTTTAATTTTTTTTAATTTTTATTTTTTCTAATTTTTAATTTTTTTTTTTTACAAAAGCTTACAGTTGTAGGTGACTATTTGGGCATTAATAAAAAAAAAATTGGTATTTTATATCATTACTAAGCTGTTTACTTATTAAATATATTCTTACTGAAAAAAAAAATTCTTTCAACTAAGTCAAACTCATCATTCATATAAATTTTGCAAAATTGTTTTTTGTTGCATTTGTTCAACTTGATATAGCCTCTTTCTTTTCTTTTTTTTTTCTTTTTTTTTTTTGATAAAATTTTATTATTTTTCCACAAGGTACATTTTTGTGAACATGTTAAAGTAAATTAGTAATCAAATAACTTAAGTTTTAAAGACAATTTGGATTGTGTGTATGCACACTAGTTGAATTTTTATGTCACAGTAAAACTTTAAAATGACAAGCAAGTAGAATATAATAAAATCAGTTTTGATTATATTAGTTGGTTTTGTATATAGCATGAAAAAAAGGCATTCGCTAATCATTTCAACATTAAATATACAAGTTTGAAAAGGAAAAAAAGTTAATTACAATACACTTAACATAAATTTAATTTATTCTGCATTATTTATTATTTTATGAAGATCTTGCATTGACATGAACATTAGTAATCTCCCTATTAATCATCTTTTAAATGCAACCTATCAACTTTTTTCATTCTTTTAAATGATTCTCTTTATTTTGTCTTTTATATTAATGTTCTCTTTTCATTTAATACAATCTTTGATATTTTTTCTTTTCTGATCATTACAGCTTAGTTTATGTTGGGTGATTAATATTTATTTTTAAACTTGAAGTTACAGTTCTTTAAATATTGCCCCTACTAATAAGCAATATTTATAGAAATACATCACTTTAGGTTACTGCCTATAAAGTAACACTAACCATGACTTCTTTCATTCAAATTTGGCCAGTTTTCAGCTGTGACGTCTACATGCATCATGTCTTTAAAAAACAGTTTTGTTGTTTCTGCTATTATTATTTTTCCCCTTTTTGATATCAAATTGTAGGGACCCTTAATTTTAAATTAAATGTTATCTTATATAATTAGATTAGCTGAATCAAATCTGCTATATGACTTTGTTTTTACTTTCATTTATTCATTTTATTTTATTTATTTATTAGCCAAATCCCAGTCTTAATGTTTCTATTAATAATAATAATTTAAAAATAATTCAGCAGATGATGTTTATTTATGGTAACTGGATTTTTGACGATTACGCTAGTCGACTTCCATTGTTTGATACACTGCATGTGAAAAATGGTGTATTTATCATGGTCAACATTGCTTCTCAGCCTTTTGGCTAAGATCAAAGTGTAGTATCTGTTGTTATTATTATTAGCTCAGTCTAATTCTCTGTCACTGTACCCCCCATTTCTATCTTTCCTTATTTGTTTCATTCATTTCCTCAGTAAAACTAAGTAATGTCTTTCCCCATCTTTCCACACAATCAAAATGGAATAGTCCATTATTTATAACCTATAAACTAATGAAGCGAGGGTGACTTAGAATTATATTAGCATTTTTTTTAGAGCATTCAATAAGGCTAATATGTGTCGGTCTCTGAAACCATTTAAATTGTATAATCCTAATTAATGTTTGTCTCTTAAGGTGTAGGTGGTATAAAGTTTAGCATGTCAAAATGAGAAGTCAGAGAGCTGTGTTTGAATTCTAGTCAGGTTTGTTATATTCAGATGTGCAATTACCCTTGGGAAAGGTATGAATTCATCTCTTCTTCTCCTCCCCAGCTATGGTTTGAATAACCCACAAAAAAAATCTCTTGTATTAAAAATGTCCTTTTGTTATCTCTTAAACAAAATCTACAGATTATTAAAAAAAAAAAAAAAAAAAAAAAAAAAAAATTTCTTTGGGGATTCTACTGATAAGGCACTTTTCATCAGAATAGTCATTTGTAGACATTTAGAATATGAAATTATATAAGTGGACACTGAGATCAACACTAATTGGTGATAGTTGGTTTATGCTCTAATGCAATCTTCAGTCCATGTGTGTAATTTTGGCTCAACTATGTATATATGTTGGTTAGTGGAGCATTATGAGTAGTAAGGTCTATTGTAGTAAGGCCTAACGGTTATTGGGTAAATGTTAACAGTTATACTTTAGATTATTCTAAAGGCTATTGAGT